GCCAGCATTTTTCCTCCCACCGGAGTGAGAGTCCCCACCAGATACACTGAGGCAGATGATTCCTCAGATAAACAGACTATAAGATGTTTGGTGCTTTATAGATAAAACCAGTACTTTAAGTCAGAATTTCCCTAAGTGTGGTCAACAGCCTACCTTGTAAAAAAGAAAAAAAGGAAAAAAACCCTCTGACCAGAGAGAAAAGGAGTTTTTTTCTGAAGCCTCTGATAAAAACATTTGAAACTAAGGCTTTAAAAAGTTACTTTGCATGTGCATGACAGCTTGTCTACCGTTTTGTGTATATATAAAGTAACCCCCGCTCCACCCAAAAGAAAGAAGAGACCCAAACTGCTGGTCACAGGAGCTACTTGTATGTCCTTTTGGTTAAACAAATGATTTTTTTGTTTTTACACTCTCATTTTCATCTTGAATATGGAATAACAGTTGAAAAATGTTACTGGAAACACAGCTAAATTCAGTTAGCTCAAATGATGTGCTGGATAGAACAGGTGAGAATAGAAGATTAAAAACTTACTGGATTGCAGGTATTGCAATGAGTATTTGTAGTTTGGTTTCAGGTAGCATAATCATTTGCCACAGGGTAATCCTGTGTAAGTTGTCATGCAGATCCATCCAATGAGTGCATGAAACCAGCAAAACTGAAATACCATTTGGAATGCAAACATCCAGAATATGCATATCAGCCCATAGATTTTTTTTTTCTAAGTAAGAAAAAAAATTATATTCTTAAAAAAAATTAAAAGTCTCTGTGTTCTTCAATGAAAAGTGTGTTGGCATCATACAATTTGAAGGTTCCAAACTGATAGCTATAGTTTAGCTGTATACTTGCTATCTCCTGCATTGAACATTATTACTTTCTACATTTATAGAAGAAAAAACAAATAGGTTGGGCATACTTTTTTATCTAACAGTTCAATGAGATGTAGAAATAAAGATACGGCTGTTTTCTTTTGCTCCTGACGTAAAGTTTCTCTGTGATACAAAACAACAGAAAAACAACTTTCTTGTTTTCATTTTTAAAAATAGGTGTTTAAATTTGAAGGTTAAAAAAATGGTCCTAGTTATTTAAATTATATAACCCTGCTTTTAACTGATACTGAAAAATTGAGAACTAGTTTGATCTTTTAATATGGTAGTGTTATAATCATGGTAATGTTTGACAGTCTAGATGCTGTATTTTGCACCGTTTGAAGCTTGGGAAAATTAGGATAGCCTAATATAGATTGTGTTGTAGTAGTTCAATTGAATGTAAAGGCGTTTAAAAAGGGGTATAAATTAACAATAATAACAACTGCCAAAGAGACATTTCTGAATCTGAGATGGAAATTATTTAGAATACTTGGTATGAAATCTGGAAAGCTTCATATATGTCTTAATCAGATTAAGTTCTTGTTTTCATAGCTACCTCTAGCAAGTAAAAAATGTTTCCAGGTCGCAGAAAATAATTTTAAATTATTTCTGGTTTTATGCTACCAAAATGTCATACATAAACTTCATAGAAGTTGAAGTAAAGGTGGCCAGAAGGCAATAAACAACTACTTATTTGCAAGGCTGCTGTAATAGCAAACAGAATGTTAAAGATCGATAAGCACAAGTTACATGAAATGAATTTGAATTGAGTCATTATTCATAACATGCTGCATTTTTTTTAGAATTGTCTGTGTAGTAAAAGTTCACTCCGTTCTTCACGTCTGTCTCGTGGATATGCTACATCTGGAGAACCTGGGTACGTAGATCCATAACAGGCTTTTTCAGTTAGTTCTCACTAGAGATGATATGGGGAACCTTCCTCTGAGCATCCCGTACAATTGTTGGGAGATTTAGGGCAGTGTTGGCTGGGGAATTCTGGGAATTGAAGTCCACTCATCTTAAAGTGGCCAAGTTTGGACAACACTGATTTAGGGTATTCCTTTTCTTGACGGAACAGCACATTGGAGCTTAAAAACACATTTTTGTGTGTCCTCTTTTGTTGAATACAAGAAAAAGAAACAAAATTACAAAACAAATGATATGCATGACTAACTAAAACTAATTGTAATCATCCTTCCAACATTATTATATATCTCTTGGGAAAGCTAGCCTTCACATTTCATATACAATTTGATTTCTAGCTAGATAATGGGATTCCCTGCTCTGGGATTTTTTTTTTTTCTCCTTCACTTTAGATTTCAACACCAGCTGAAGTCTTGATTTTTAATTTTATTGGGTTTTTTTAACGTTTTGATAATACCTCTCTTGGGAATATCAATTTGAAAATAATGGATGAGATTATGGGGGAGGTGTTAAATTGTCCTTCATTGAAAGTATAACCAGATATTGTATAGTAATACACATACATATACATATACATACACACACACACACACATATATATGTTGTGTGTGTGTAGTGTATGTGTATGTGTATATGTGTGTATAATATACAGATATATATACAGATAATATATATACAGAACTTTTATGATAAGGTTATAGCTAATGATAGAACAAACGTGTGATCCCATAATATTTATTTATATCTTAATAGCATAATTCTGTTCTTGATACTCTGAATTTTCATAAAGGTCTATTTAAAGTTACCTTCAGGTTACTTTGTGGAATATTGTAATTTAATTTAGAAGAAATAAGATTAGAAACTAGTAAATGTTTTTTGTAATGACATTCTTATTTTTCCATTTATTGAATATTTTCACTTAAAGGAGAAATATGCTTTTTAAACATGTTAGGGACAGTAATAATGTCTTCTTGGAAATATATTTTTCCAAATCTTATCTAATCTCTTGATTTACAGTATTGAAATATGAAAATTGCATTGTTTTTATAGAAGGCAATTTATATTTACTGTCATGCTGATGCCCTTTAAGGAACTTCTGCAAAGGAACGCAAAAGAACTTCTGATAGAAATGTTAGAAGAACCTATTTTAGAAGAACCAGGGAAATGCAAAAGCTCTGTTAGGGGCAACAATTACATTTCTTACTGCTTTTGTAGAACAGCCAATCCTTTCCTGTGACTACTCATAAATTGTGTTTGGGGAAACTCCATTCACAGATTGCTTGTTATGTGTATATTAAGTTGAGAAAGAAGGGGAAAAAGCAGCTTTTCCTTGCATTGTACTGATGTTGCAGAGAGCAGCTGCTTTGAGGAATTACTGATAGTTGCTACATTGGTGTCCTGCTTGCTCCCAAGCTCTTTTTTGCCTTCAAGTCCAGCCTTAGTTATAATATACTGGGTTATATTTTATACATTATTGGGAATTATGTTTATGTCATGGTTTATAGGAGTTTGACATTTCTCTCATATACATGCAAAGATATATGATGTTGATAATCCCATGTAGACAGTTAAGAATTTTTGCTTGTTAACAAGTTAACCTAGGAAGACATTTGGAGGAGAGTAAAACTTTCTAACACAGATCTGATATTCTTCTTTCTTTGGGTTTTTTTTAAATTACATACATAAAAACATTCGTGTTTATTTTCTTGTTTAAACAGTGTCTCTGCAGGGAAAATAATTGGTGCCAGTGTTTTGTTTGTTGGTGGAGGAATAGGTGGAACTATTTTATATGCAAATTATGACCCACGCTTCCGAGAAAATGTAGAGAAGACAATCCCTTATTCCAGCAACTTGTTTGATATGGTATTGGGTCCTCTTCCTTATAATTCAACACCAAAGAAACCAGTAAGTTTCTCCTTTTCCTGAAGTAGCATATGCTTTGTTTCCCCAATTTTAAATTATGCTTAGAATTTTGAATGCATTATTAATATGTAATTCAAACCCCCTAACTATTCAGAATACCATTTTTTTCTAGAATTACCTCAAAAAGATTTTGTGTTTTTAAGAATCCCCTTAATGAAGCATTGGTTAAAGGCTTTTCTGGCTTCTGATAATTTTCTTAGCTTGTTAGCTTTTAGCTTGTTTTAACTTTAGGATTTAGTTTTTGCCCTTGAAAATGAAATTCTTTCCTAGTGAACTTTGTTTATTTCACAGCTGAGATGAAATTCATGGTAAAGTTATGTCATGAGGTACTGGGAAGGCAAAAGGAAATTTTTTTTTCTGTGAGGTGGGAACATCTTACCAGTCTCCATGATGGCAAAGCACAAATGGAAAGATTAAAATTACAACCAGAAAACCTACTAACTAATGGAACTAAATGTTTACTCCCACAGATACAGTCAGCTCCATTAAAGATCTCTTCTGTAGCAGAAGTAATGAAAGAATCTAAACAACCAGCTGCCAGATCTCCAAAGAGCAAAACAGATATTCCTTCAGCCACTAGTGAAGAAAAAGAAGGTAACAACAGACTATTGCCATAAAAAACCAACTGGGCAGGACCATCCTATTTATAAAAGATGTAACATTTTTAGATATTGAAACTAATTGTTATTTTGAAAATCTATTTTTATTTTGAGAGTATTAACACCTGCCTATTCTTTTATATTCAGTGCTTGCTGATAACTTCTGCTGTCAAAATATTACTTCAAAAAATATTTTATGTATGAAATGGTTAAAAGGTTAAAAGTATTATATAGTAAATACAAGAACCAGGAATCTTCAGAAAATTATTTTATTTATTTATGTATTTATGGTCAAAGAAGAAATTAAAAGGAAAAAAGAAAAGAGATATTTGTGGGATTAATTGAATAAATTAAGACAAGGAAAAATAATATATAATAGATTAAATAGATTAAATTAAATAAAGTATTTTATATGTATATATAAACAGCAGCAGTAAGAGAATAAATAGCATTGGATATCTTTTTAGATCCCCAAACATCCAGGCACTCCAGGCCTAAACAAAGTAAACCCATTGTCTTCTCATAGCAGCTACAATAGAAGAAAATTTAGAAATATCAGTGGAGAAACCTGCTAATAAAAAGTGTACAGTCTTGACACTCAGACTAACCCTTATACTCACCAACAAAGGGGGTATATCAGAATCAATAGCCAATCTTGATGTAAGGGACAGTACAACAGAACATGAGTTATTGATTCAGCTATTTCTGAGCATATGCAGTTATGATCTCATTGGGAAATATTTTAAACTGCCCTTCCACAAGTTTGGTGGCAGGGCATTAAATCTCGCTAATTTGAATACTTTTCAGCATGAGGGGGAAGGTTTCTTAAAATAGTTAGGGATAGCAAAAAGATTGAGATATAAATTCTGTCAGTTATAATTTGGAACATTGGATCTGCCAGTTTGTAAATCAAGATCTAAAAGATGTTGCTTTATTTCAGAAATAGCTTGCTCCAAACCAGTTGCTATTGGTAATTGGACTGATAGGCCACAACAGGAAAGATAATTTTCTATGGCTTTTTACAGGAGGAGTTGAATTTTTCTCCAGGAACAAGTTGGTCTAAAGAGTTGCTCCCAAAATGTAATTTCAATCAGTATCTCAGGTGGCAACTTCACATGCAAACAGCTTTTAGAAGGAGCTCCTAGTTTAAAGTTGCAATAAAACATTAGAGATGAATCAAGAAGCATGGGACATTATATATTAATAAAGGCAGAATTGCACACCATGGAGTAAAAATTAGATTACCTTAGCTCTAAAAAGTTTAATTGCCATTGGAAAAAATGTGTTGCCTTTACAACTAACCTATCTGGTTATTACATTTGAATTCTCTATGCACAAGATAAGGCTTTGCCTATTCGTTGCTTCCATATGGAAAAGGAATGAAAGATGATACCTTGATATTTAAAGCACTTGGTTTGTTCTATTAGGATGCCATTTATGATAGCAGTTGGAATATTTTTTTTAAAAAGACTGCCTTTGGATTTGAATAATTTGTTGCAAGCTTTTCACAGTGTCAGAAGCTAGCTCCTTCTCTGTCTCAAGTAGGACTTTGGAGGAGGCTCCAGAGTCCTGCTTGAAGCAAAGAAGGAGTGGTAGTAGCAGTGGCATGTAATAATTATGGATGGGGGTCTTTGTATATGTTTACAGGTCAGTCAGTTCGTTGTGACCATAGGTCGTAGGTACATGACATAGCATAAAGAAGGAATGCAATTAGTAAAAACAGTAAGAAAAAGAAAAAACAATCAAAAAAGCATATAAGAGAATTAAGTTAAGATGGAATCAATACTACCTAAGTTTAAAAGAAATCTTGGCAAGGATAATGACCTGACTGTTAACTTTTGGAATCACATCCACAAGAAATAGTTCAGTCATTTAGCATCCAACCCCTTAAGTCTATTTATCATCAATATTTACAGCAGGCTCAGAAGTCGCTCACATAATCTCAGCAACAGGTGAAGCATTATCAGTTCCAGCTCCAGGAATGCAGGAGGAGGAGGAATGCAACAAAAGTCACGTTCATTTTGAAGGAAAGCAAAAACCTCCTGACTTAGGTATTGTCTGTTTATCTGCAAAATTCTGAAACAAAAACAATTATGGAAATTCAGAGCTAGACCCATTATGTGTGGATGCTGTCAAGATTCCTGCCATCTCTTTGAGGCAAGAATTCCTCCATTGTTTGACAAATGTCTTGTTTAGTATTTTATTCTGCAACTTGTGTATAACCACTTTTAATATTTTGTTATTTATTGTGCTTACTTCCTTGAGACGTTTAGTGATATCGAGAGTTGATAATTATGTCCCATATCTAAGATGCATCAATTGATTTAAGGTGATTAATTTTTATGACTCTGGAATTGTCATTTGATGACAATTCAGAATTTCTTTACAGCAGCTTCTAGCATCTGCTTTTAGTAATCACCCAAAAACAGTTGATTTACATATGCAGGTACAATGTAAGGGGGAAAAAAGTCATAAAATTATTGTTAGTTTTGTGTAGGAAGTGACAAAACTGTATTTTGATTATGAAGTGAACATCCCTCTTCAGGTCAAGTCAAAGTTTATTTCAGTCAAAGACCAACGTAGAACAAAACAATTAAGTTTTGTTAACAAAAAGTTAACATCTCTCTTCAGTTCTATAGTTCCTAGTTCCATTATTGCTATTACATATTTCTATTATTATTTTAATATTATATTAAATTATATTAAATAATATTACATATTTCTACAGTATTAATCTTTGATTTTAAGAAACATTAATGAAAAATATAGGCATGTACTATTTTAGATTCTTAATATATTATTGGGGTGAGGCAACTTGTTTATTGTTGTTCAGTTTAAAATTTGAGTGTGAAAAAATACCTTTCTCAATAAAATAACCCTTGAAGATTTTTTGGAAAGCTTTAGTGGTATAATGCAGAGTTGACAAAGTATAAAATATAAATACTGTTCTTAGAAAGCTTTGTTGTTATTCTTTTTTTTTTATTTCCAAGAGACTGTCTTTCTTGATAATGCTTGCCTCAACCTCTTTATTTTCTCCTTTAGAACCACTTAACATGAATATATTATAATTTCACTGTACTTAACTGCTTGTGTAACTATTTTTAAATCTCTCTTTAATGAAATCTTATTGAGAAAAAACTTCTTTGTCATAGTACTTAGATGCCATAAGGAAATAGAGATTTAAGAGTTAAATCTTTATGTACTTCTCTCCCTCCTTCCGAGATGGGTACTTTCTTAACTGAATGAATGTGTTTCAATTTCTCTTTGAAATTAGATGATAATAAGAGCATCAGTTTCAGTACAGATAACAAAGAATGCTGTTTACTCTTTTATCTAGATAAAGAATTGGTCAATTGAGGATGGTATGTAGGTAGGATCTTACCTTGAAGCAATTTCATTGATTTCTTCTGGCCTTACCAGATTTTAAATCAAAGTCCAGGAGAACGAAAAGGAATATGTTTGCAGGTTATGGTAGTGTCCATAAAGGTTATTGTGGTCCACTGCTATTGATTGGTAATAAACCAAAATTTGTGGTTATCAGGATTTTGCTTTCTCTGTTACTAGTTTTTAATATGTTTTCTTGGATGAATATTATGTTTTGTAAGGCTTTCCCCCCCAGGCAGCCACCATCCCCAATTTTAAATGGTGCCTCTGTGTTCTCAATTTTGGAGTTAAGGTGCAAACAGAATTTCATTTTGGCACTAGCTGATCAAATTGCTCCAAGATACTTCAGTTTCCACTACCAAAACACAGGCCCAAATTTTATTTTAAGATCCAGAGGAAAATCCATCATCAAAAAGAGCAACTCCTGTCTCTTTCTCTACTCTGGAGTTAAAAGTAGTTGGAAGTTTTCCCATGCTTGTACTAAGTTCTACAGAGCTCAGTGTCAGTGCATAGGTTTTGCCGCTGTCTCCCCAGATCCAGGGGAGGGTTAAGGCTTCAGCTTCTCTTCATGCTATTTTCAGGGTGAGCAGAAATGTGAGTCCCTGTTGTTTACACTATAATTTCAAGATTTCTGTCTAATGCATGAATTAATGCCATCAGAATGACTGAAGGCATAATTCCATAGTTATTAAACTCTTATTGCTAATTGGTTTATAACCAGGTATTAGGAGGACATCTAATACCTGCAAAATGCACTTCCAGCACACAGGCCATTATTGAAATCTAACAAGGAAATCACTTACTTACGAATAAGCTTTGCTTAGTCTTGGTTTTCCTTTCAGTGTTGTATTTAAAAACATTTATATTTAGGCAAAGAACACCATCGTGGTGATGCTGTTGTAAAAGAAAGACCACCCGAAGAGGTTGCAGCTCGTCTAGCACAACAAGAGAAAGAAGAACAAGATAGAATTAAGGGTACGTGAGCAGATAGTGTAGCTACTTCTACCCAATTCCAAAAACATGATTTTGATTCCAGTAGTTCTACAAAACCTTAATGGAATTTTTGATTTCACCCATTGAAAAGGTAATTAATTTATGTGGTTCATATTCATTTTATAGCATTTAAAGATATTCTGATTAAAAGTAGATTCATGGGCTGTTTTAGTATGCCTTCTGTTTAGTTTAATCCTTATTGCTTCCCATGAGGTTGCAAAGTTGTGCACCAAAATACAATTTAGGGTCATGGACCAGTGTCTAGAAAAAGTACCCCATAAATGCAAAGCCGTGATGAGTGAATCTGGAACTTTTAAGTGCTTGCAGATAAGTCAGAATGGACAGTCAACTTTAAACATTTAAATCTGGCTTCTGGTCTTGACTTGTCTAAACATACCTCCAGGTCTGCATTTCATGAAAAATTATAGTCAAATGCCAGATCCTTGTTTGTTCTAATTTGAAGGGAACCATGAAAAAAGATATTAAAACTAAACTGGAAGACTAAATTAAACTATGTGAGGTGAATGATCTGTAAAATTAATCATAGTTTTTTATCTTTCTCTTCCCAGCACTTGCAGCATCCTTGGAAAGGGCTTTGAATAGCACCTCTCGTATCACTTTGCAAGCAATTACTCTCCAGGAAGCTGCTGTCCAGGCAGTCAATCTGCATGCTCAGAAACTGAAAGAAGCTATGGATAATTCTGAGGTGTGCATGTTTTTATTTTTATTATATTTACATTTTTGTAAGTTTTGTTTCTTTATTTTTAATAGCTAAGGAAAGGCTACTAAATATGGCATGCATCTCTATAGACAAAAATGGATGCAGATGGTGGGATGTAACGTTATTCAACAGTATAGGCAGTCCTCACTTACCTAAAGTAATTGGGACCGGGAACTCCATCACTAAGTGACGCAGTCATAAGGCACAACGTCACATGAGTGCACTGACTTACAACAGCAGTCTGGAAGTTCCAGTTGCCATCATTAGGTGAATCCTGCATGGTCTCAATGTCCTGCGGTCACATGATCACCATTTGTGACCTCCTGCCAGCTTCCCCATTGACATTGCTTGTCAGAAGCCAGCAGTGAAGATCGCAATGGTGATCATGTGACTGGGACCTTGCAACTATCATAATTGTGAGCCGGTTGCCAAGCACCCAAATCACGATCATGTGACCTCAGGGATGCTGCAACAGCTGCAACTATGAGGACCCGTCATAAGAACCCCTCATTCATGGGTGGCTGAATGAGTGGACATTAAACGAGGACTACAGTGCTACCTCGGGATACGAACGCCTCTACTAACGAACTTTTCGGGTTACGACCAGCTCCGGCCGCAAAAATTTACCTC